TCAAGTCATCTCCACTTTCAGCAAGCAAGGTTGCATCATCTACATATTGCAGTTGTTAATGAGTCTTCCTCCAACCCTGATACCACATTCTTCTTCCTATAGTCCAGCTTCTTGGATTATTTACTCAGCATACAGTGAGAGGATACAACCCTGATGCACAACCTTCCTGATTTAAAACCATGCAGTATCTCCTTGTCCTGTTCAAACAATAGCCTCTTAGTCTATGTGCAGCTTCCTCATCAGCACAGTTAAGTGTTCTGGAATTCCCATTCTTCTAAATGTTATCCATCATTTGTTAGGATCCACACAGTCAAATGCTTTTGCATTGTCAATAAAACAAGTAAACATCTTTCTGGTATTCTTTGTTTTCAGCCAAGATCTGTCTGACATCAACAATGATATCCCTCACTCCACATCCTCTTTTGAATCCAGCTTGCATTATTGGAAAAACAAAAAACCAAACTCACTGCCGTCAAGTCAATTTGACTCAAAGTGACCCCTCTTTGTGTTTCAGAGACAGTATCTCTAAGGAAGTAGATTGCCCAATCTTCCTTCTGAGTAGATACTGCTACAACTGTTTTTGAATTATCTTCAGCAAAATTTTACTTGTGTGTGATATTAATGATATTGTTCAATAATTTCCACATTGCACTGGATTACCTTTCTTTGGAATGTGTACAAATATGAATCTCTTCCAGTCAGTTGCTAGGTAGCTGTCTTCCAAATTTCTTGGCATAGACAAGTAAGTGTCTCCAATGCAGCATAAGTTTCTTGAAACATCTCAATGGGTATTCCATCAATTCCTAGAACCTTCTTTCTCTCCAGTTCCTTCAATGCACCTTCAACTTTTTCCTTCAATACCACTGATTCTTGATCTTATGCCACCTTCTGAAGTAGATGAACATTGACCAATTCTTTTTGGTACAGTGATTCTGTGTATTCCTTCCATCTTCTTTTGATGCTTCCTGCATCATTCAATTTTGCCTGTAGAATCTTTCAATATTGCAACTCGAGGCTTGAATTTTATTTTCAGTTCTCTCAGATCGAGAAATGCTGAGTGTGTTCTTCCCTTTTGGTTTTCTAACTCCAGGTCTTTGCACATTTCATTATAATAATTGACTTTGTCTTTTTGAGCTGCTCTTTGAAATCTTCTGTTCAGCTCTTTTATCTTGTCATTTCTTCCATTTGCTTTACCTACTCTCCACACAAGGGCAAGTTTCAGAGTCTCTTGTGACATCCATTTTGGTCTTTCCTTCCTTTCCTGTCTTTTTAATGACCTTTTGCTTTCTTCCTGGATGATGTTCTTGATGTGATCCCACAATTCCTCTGGTTTTCAGTCACTGGTGTTCAACGCATCAAATCTATTTTCAGATGGTCTCTCTAAATTCAAGTGGTATGTAATCAAGGCTATATTTTGGCTATGTGGACTAGTTTTAATTGTCTTCAGCTTCAACTTGAAAATGCATATGAGCAATTGATGGTCTGTTCCACAGTCAGCTCCTGGCCTTTTTTGGCTGAAGGTATTGAGCTTTTCCATTGCCTCTTTCCACAGATGCAGTCAATCTGATTCCTGTGTACTCCATCCGGTGAGGTCCACATGTATAGCCACCACTTATGATATTGAAAAAAGTATTTGCAATGACTAAGTTTTTGTTCTTCCAAAATTCTATTATTTGTTAGGATCCACATAGTCAAATGCTTTTGCATAGTCAATAAAACAAGTAAACATCTTCCTGGTATTCTTTGTTTTCAGCCAAGATCTGTCTGACATCAACAATGATATCCCTTGTTCCACATTCTCTTTTGAATCCAGCTTGCATTATTGGAAAAACAAAAAAACCAAACTCACTGCCATCAAGTCAATTCGACTCATAGCGACCCCTCCTTGGGTTTCTAAGGCAGTGTCTTTAAGGAAGTAGATTACCAGCATCATTTCTATCACCAAGACCATATTTTCCAACTATGAGTGATTCATCCTTGTTCTAACTTTTGCATTCCAATCACCAGTAATAATCAATATATCTTGATTACATATTTGGTCAATTTCACACTGCAGAAGTTGGTAAAATCTTCAATTTCCTTGTCTTGGACCTGGTGGAGGGTCAGTGAAAAAGGGGAATACTCTCAATGAGATGGACTGGCACAGTGGTTGAAACAATGGGCTTAGGTATAGAAAGGATTGTGAGGGTAGCACATGACTGGGTGGTATTTTATTCTGTTGTAAATAGGGTTGCTATGAGTCAGAGATGACTTGATGGCACTTAACAACAACAGTCATACATTTTAATCATACTACATGTAATGTTCTTTAGTAGTGTCTCCTTGGCTACCAGCTTGGTATCCTAATAACTCCACCATAGTTGTACTCCCTAACATCATTAATCATGTTACAGCCAAAACTAACTGGTTTTCTTTATGTCCTCTTGACATTTCTTCTGAAATGACACTGGTTAAGTGGCAATCTCTTTTTCATCTTCAAATATTGTGGTTCTATGGCTGGATATGCTGCTGTTTCTTCTCCTGCCTTTACCATTTGACAAGCCCATTCCTTGCAGCCCCCAACTCTGGATAATTCCATGGTTTGACTCCTGATCTCATTGCTCTAGTCCCATTGTACTCACCGCTGTATAAAGTACACTGACTCTCATCACTTCCATTTCATCCATTTCCAAATACCTCCCAGCTCTTATATCTTTCTTGGCATGTTCTATATAGTGTCCTGTGGCAGCTCTCTACCTAGATTATCACCACCATGCCCTGCAAGTAATTCCAAGACTTTAAAATTCACTGCTGTCAAGTTGATTCTGACTCATAGCCATTCCATAGGGTTTCCAAAGCTGTGAATATTTATGGAAGCAGATTGCCTCATCATTCCTCTGCAAGCAGCTGGTGGGTTCGAAGCACTGACCTTTGGGTTAGCAGCCAAATGTCTGAACCAGAAGACTTTAAAAGATGTTCTCATTTTCTTGCCTCTAAAATTACCTCCCCTTTCCAACTAACTCATGACAATCAGTTGGCATCATAGCTAAGCCTGCTACCCAATTTCTTAATTTTAGGTTCATCTTTTAAAAATCTCTGTTCCACATCTAACCAGTCATAAACATGTGTTGTCTATCAGATTAAATGTGAGAACTTTACACCATGTGAAGTATTATGTAGACATGAGGTGATAACATGATTCCATACTCAAGCTAGATTTTCAGGGTCTGCTCTCAACTGGTCTCATTTGACTTCTTATCTTTTCTCTTCTTCCTCAACACACAGCTTCCCAATCAGTCAAGCTAATAGAACACATTCCTGTATATTCACCTTGCTTTTTCCAACATCTTTACTTTTTAACACTTGCCACCTAATTGCTTCACTTGCTCTTTGTTTCAATAAGTATGTTCTAAGGAGAAAACTCACCTATCTGTTTCTTTTCTTCTCTGTGTATTCAAGCCTCCCTTATCTTCAACATTTGCCTCCTCACACAAATCCCTCAAATACAACCTCTCTTGGAAATTTCTCAAATCTGGCTTCTTCCACAACACACAACCCTTGCCTACTGAGGAAATTATTTTCTAGGAGCTTTGTGTCTTCTTCCCCCCAGATCCTTGAGGAAATGAATGCGGCTTCACTGGGCTAAGTTTAGTCTTAGGTTCCAGCAAGTTCTAGATCCTGAACATGGATTCTGGTAATACCCAAAGGATGTTTATGTGAAGTTCCTGGAAGTTGGGGCCTGATATTTTCCAGTTTCCATGACTTTCCACAACGTTTTTATAGGGTATTTTAAAACATCTTTAAAAGAACAAGTGCATCTTCAAAGTAAATCTTTGCACAAAGATAGAAGTATGTATGAAAACTCCTGACCCTTAGGGTAACTTACCTCCTCACTCCACAACATACATGCATTGTTTTTTTTGTTGTTGTTATGTGCCCTCCAGTTGGACCTATCTCATAGAGACCTCTCCTTGGGTTTTGGAGGAGATATCACTAGGGAAGTAGATTGCCCAACCTTCCTTCTGAGGAGTGGCTGGTGGGTTTGAACCGCCAACCTTCTGGTTAGCAGTCAAATGCCTTAGGCACCACACCACCAGAGCTCCTAAGTGTTCTGCTACAGAAGTAGATCACCCCATCTTGCTTCCACAGAGAAGTGGGTGGGTTTGAACTGCTGATCTCCTGGTTTGTGGTCAAGTGTTTTATACACTGAAAAAAGATGTGACCAAATGAAAACACTTTCTTTTAGAAGTTCAGAGTGTCTCTGGTTTCTGTCTGGGATTTTTCCGAGTTTCAATTTGGTGGTTGGAAAGAAATTGGGAGGATGAGACGTTCAAAGGAAAGAAAAGGGAAACGGAGAAGGCTGCAAGGTGACAGCAGAGTTCTGGGCGAGTCTGAGGAGTGAGAGGAGGAGTGCCCCACTCTCGCTTCTTCCCCAAGAGCTCTGACGGGCAGAATCTTCCATCTGGCTTTTTGAGATCATGCTTGTTTCGGGGACCCCCATTTGCTGCCCTCCAGGCCAAGGGCGCACAGCCTAAGGGTAATAGAAAGCTAGGGAGGTACCACAAGTTCTTGATACGCAGGGAATGCCTGCCACGCCGCGCCCTGCCTCTTATTTGCCGAGTTCAGGGCGCAGATGGCGAGGTACAGATCCCAGGCTTTCAAGGGCTGAAGTGTGGCTCTTAAGGCCCTGAGCGAGTATGGAGCCGGCACTCTAGGGCACGCCCCTAAGCCCCGCTCTTCCGAGACCACCCCCCCCCCCCCAGCGGCCAGGCTATATAAGTCACCTGCCTGGGGCAGGGACGCACAGCGCTCGCCAGCCCTGGGAGCAGTGGGTCCTCCTGGCACCAGAGTAGGGAGGAGGAAGACGTGGCCGGAATCAGCTCCACTGCTGCGCTTCGCCTGCAGCCGACTGCCTGCTCGCCCGCCAAGGGTGCAGCCACAAGAGGGAAAGAAACTTCCACCTTCGGGGCTGAAGCCCTTCTTCGGTTGCAACAGAGCCTCGCTCAGCTTTCTGAATGAAGATGGTGGGCCTGACAACTTCGGACATGCACCCGACCATGGGGATCAAGATCTTCTCAGCTGGAGTGTCGGCCTGCTTGGCGGATGTGATCACCTTCCCGCTAGACACCGCCAAAGTTCGGCTACAGGTAGGGAGTGAGACAGGGTCTCAGAATACAGAGACCCTTTGTGTGGGCTCCCCTGATGCTCAGCTATGGTATCCTGGTCATTTCTGCTAGATAAGGCAGGTGGCTACCTTAAAAGACAATTTGGCCTTGTCACAGAACAGGTGCTTTAGGTTGGGACATTGGAAGTTTTGAGGGATTAACAGGACAATCACAATAGTCACAGAGAATGGGTTGAATGCTACACCCCTAAAAAGTTAGGGTGCATTAAGTGTGCTGCTAAAAGCTAAGAATATCAGCCATTCCTGAGTTTACAAGTCAGGCCCTCTTCCTTCTTTGATTCTACAGGGACACTTTCCCAACCCAGTAACTTATGGGTCCTAGATAATTTGTTGAGGGGCAGGGGCATGTTCAAAGTGCTCTTTGTAGCCATATAACTATATAGATGAGTGTGTATGGAGGCAGGTGTTGCTGAGAATGAAAGGGAACTTAAAACATGAACATGGTGGGAAAAAATATATTGGATTAAAGTTTCTCCAATAAAGACAGCCTAATGTCATTCTGTTCCCTGGCAAAGTATCAGTACCAGTTGCCACTGGGTCCACTCTGATGCATGGCAACCCCACGTGTGTCACAGTTAGAACTGTACTCCATAGGGTTTTCAATGGCTGATTTTTTTTTTTTTTTTCAAGAAGTAGCTCATCAGGCCTTTCTTCTGAGCTGCCTCAGGGTGGATTTGAACCTCCAACCTCTTGGTTAGCAGCTGAGCATGTTAACCATTTGTACCATCCAATAATTCCCCCTTAAAGAGCTATGACCCCCTTACTCAATTTTTACTTCCCTCTGATTTGTACCTTTCTCATTTCCAGATCCAAGGTGAATGCCAGCCCTCCAGTGCCATTAGGTATAAAGGTGTCTTGGGAACAATCACTACTCTGGCAAAAACAGAAGGACCAATGAAACTCTACAGTGGGCTGCCTGCTGGCCTTCAGAGACAAATTAGCTTTGCCTCTCTTAGGATTGGCCTTTATGATACTGTCCAGGAGTTCTTCACAGCAGGGAAAGAAAGTAAGTAACAAGTGTTCCCAGAAAGGGCAGACAGCTAGAGAGATATATACCTTGGTCATTGCTGTTAAAAAAGGTAACACATAGGGTATGGTCTTCATAACAAATTGGCAAGTAAACAGTAATCTTTGAAGTATCCCCCCAAGAATATTAGCTTGGGGTACTCATTGTTCATGTTGTTGTTGTTGTTATTTGCCGTCGAGTCGGCCCCGACTCATAGCGACCCCTCCTTGGGTTTCCGAGGCAGTTATCACTACGGA